TGATTTACATATGTTAATGACGTTAATATTTTTTGTTTTAGGATACATTAAATTGAAGAAATTAGAAGTTTTGGAGAGTACTCTACATAAAGAAAACGAAGTTATAAATATTAATAAAGTAGAATCCGATGACAGCATTTATAGCGATTCCGCAAAAGAATCTAATTATTCCGATGAATTTCCCTATAGAGCTAAACAAGGTGACGAGTTGTTAAAAGAAATTAGAACAGGAATGGAAAACAAAGAGATGCCCTTGTATACTGAAATTAAACTGACGAATATCAGAAATAACAATAGAGGTGAAGGTAGGAGATACAGTGGACCAATAAAGCAGTACAGCGTTCAAGTAACTAAGAGTGATATTTCTAAAATACGCCATCGAACTATAGAAGATTCTGTACCAGAAGAAGATGATGCGTACGATATTAATGAAAATTTTGCAATGGATAATAACTATGAATTTTCAATATCTCCCAAAAGTACAAGCTTAATAAGGCAAAGAAGGTTGAGTGGACCAACAATAAATACAAAAAGACGCCAAAAATCTGAAATGCGTTCAGCTGTTTCAGAAGGCAATCTTACCGATAACACTGAGACTTCGGGTTATAGATCAAACTCTAGTAGCAGACAAACTGAATCTAGTGAAAACGAATCAGACTATGGTTAAGCTACTATAACTGAGGCAGCAACGCCTAAAATAGTAGAACTCAGTTTGAGAACTAAGAAATCGCTTACGTCAGGAGCTTTACCAGAAGAAGCTTGGACACCTGTTGATGTTGAAGTTTTGGAAGATGAAGATGATGACGACGATAATGACAAAGCACTCCAGTCTGCTAATTTATTAGAAAGATGCTATTACCTCAACTCTTTGGGATTTATGAAAAATTTTGTTGACGAATTTATCATTAATCTGGGGTCTGGATTAGGATTGAGTACCAATGAAATCAAGTCTGCGTTAACACAAGGTGCTAGTATTTATTGTGATACTATTAGAAATGGCACCAGATTTGGGTATGAAATATTTCCTGCTCTTTTTGCTGCCTGGCCGAATGCAGCAAATCCGTGGATTATACGAGAGAGGAAAGTCATACAAAATCCAAGAAATAATAACAGGTACCAATGGCCTGACAAAGAGAAGGTGACCAAAGCTATAGGATTTGGATGTTTATTGGTACCAATAGGGCAAAGAATTAAAAGAGGTCTAAATCCAAATCAACCTTTGCAATGGAAATTAATATTTCCTGCAGTAGAACGCTACCTAGAAAGTTGTCTAGCACATTCTCACATTCGTTGCTATCTATTTACTTTGGCGTTGCACAAGGCTTTTATGGAAAACGAAACTGCTAAAATTGGTTTAGATGCAAGTCATATTAAAAATCATCTGTTTTGGAAATGTGAAGACAATTATGCAAGGTGGCCAGAAGATCAACTTGGTACAGTTTTGTTGGAATTCCTAAAAGAAATATACAGAAATTTATCAAAAACAAAAATGCCAAATTATTTTATAGACAGCTGTAATGAAATTGCAAGTATACCGGATCCCTTGTTACGTAAACAACAAAACAGCTTAGCAAAGATCATCGAGTCTCCTGTGCTAAATATGCTACACGCACTTAAAAAAATAAAATACACTAAGAGAGAATTCTATCCAAAATTTCAATGTAAAAAACTCTTTCAAATACTAACTTGCAAGGATCCTTTGCGTCTGATTAATCCAAATCTACCTAAAGTTGTTACTCCCTCTAAGTATGAAGATAGTTCAGAGAGCGAAACTGAAAATGGATTTTGGGAGGCAGCCAAAGCTAATGACAGAGATTATAAACGGCGTAAAGCGGCGCATAAAAAGGCTGAAGAAAAGAAAAAAACCAAGGTGCCAATAAGAGAACAAAAAGACGCATGGAAACAGGTAAGCAACCAATAAATTATAATTGTAGTTTATCATTATTTATATGTTATTACCTATATATGTAGGCATAATTGTACATACTATGCATCACCCATTGTATCATCAATACATAGTATAAAACAAAGTCGCTTTCGCTGTATGTCCGTATGTATGCTTAGATCTTTAAAACTACGCAACGGATTTTGATGCGGTTTTTTTTAATAGATAGAGTGATTCTTAAGGAAGGTTTGTATGTATAATACATGCATATTGCACCCGTGCGAAGCCGGGGCGGGTCGCTAGTTTCTTATAAGTCACGTTATTAGTCCTATGTGATAAGAGAAATATGCATAAAATGTTGGTTTCTCTAAATCCCCAGTACTAAATACAAATCAATTAGAGAGACAATTATTTAGACGTATAACAAAATAGTAATAGAATACTTTGTTTTTCAGTATACAATACCACGCAAAATGGACCCGATACGACGACGTCTTGTTCTCGAATTCTTCATTCCTCACTTTATCGCAATGGCTCGGTCCAGTGAAAAGTTCGAAGCAATAAGGCAAGCACTAATATATTTGGAACACGCACAAAGACTCTGCATATTGCTATCAGAAGAACCGGGAAGTGATTCGACAGCCAAGGAATATCTGAGAGTCATTAGAGAAAAATTGGTTGACTGTCAAAGAAAACTGGTACAGCAAAGCTATTTACCTCAGAAGCCTGAAATTAATCGTAATCGTAAACCACAACGACACCGCAAGCAGCGACCAAAGTTTGAAGACATCCCAGATTCTTCTGCTGATAGTCCTGGTATCCCAGCATTTACTTTTGTCGATGTGCACGTTGAAAATTCAACATACGATCACATGAAATTAAATGTATTTACCAATGGCGAGGAATCTAAGTTATAGACATACATTTTAAAGAAATAATGACGTATTTTTTGTAACTATCAATACTATCTCAGATTCTTTTCTTTACTGAAAAAAGTCAAAAGAAGAAATAACTAAACAAACAATTAACTAAAAGTTAATACAACTGAAATAAGATTTCGAAGGATTGATGGAAAATGTTCTGAATTGTTATGTGACTCTCGGAATTAGCTGTAGGTACTTTCTTAATTAATTAATATGTATATGGAATACGTATAATATAAACACCTCTGTCTGCCCATTCGAGGAATAAAAGGTGTGATGTTGTCTTGTTTATAAATGGAATCTCGTGTTATTTGTTTGTGTCGTTGTTGGTTGTAATAAATTAATAATTGTATTATGGAAAATAATGTACATATGACAGTTTTACTGAATACTTTTATTATTCAATGTGTATTATAATTTGCTTAAGTAAGGTATTGTATACATAAGAGAAATAAAGTATCTGATTATCACTTAAATTTATTTTTATTTATATCCGACAGATATTGATATTGGTAGGTTTATATTTAGATATACAATATTAAACTAAAATTTTGTCATATGTATACCCAGATTAACTTGGTACAATATAATTGTATTCAGCGAAATGTAATCATTAAGTTGAATCTGGTCGCTTCGTATCACATGACAAAAAATAAGTAGTTAGATAGAGAAGCGTAATCGCCGATACGGTTCATTAACATAAAATGTCGGTAAACATAAAGCGTCTGATTTAAGATAAATTTCAGCTTTTGATTACGTATCGAACTGAAACTCATTTTCAAAAAAAATTAGACTGACTCAGATATTAATTACCGCTGATGAGGAAACAATATAATTATGATATCATGCGTTATATTATGTAGCACCATTACACTACGTTAGGGAATTCACCTCGGCGACCATGGAAAGTAAAGCTATCCGAACGTACATGCCGTATTCAGCTTGCCTGAAGTAGGCGGCTCGAGAGTCTGAGTCGAATTCTGGCGAGATCTCGTCGACTCGTGGCAGTGGATGCATTACCATGCGCCTTCGAGCACGAGTCATCAACTGTGGAGCAGCGCCGTAAATAGGGCGGTGCCAGCGGTGCCCAGGCACAGGGCGCAGACACTGGAGGGGCGCAGAAATGACCAGTACTATTTAAATCTGTATCGCATTTGTAAACGATCTTGAATCAACAACACATTTCAATCGACTCACTATACATCAGACAAATATATATTCACCTTAAGTCTTGTTCGCAATATTACATACACAAACAAAAGTACCTATATTATAACTTTGGGCGTCGGCGCCCTCGCCGGCGCGGACCCGGGTTGCGCCGGCGGCATCTGTGCCCGCGGCGCCTGCGCCCGCGGGGCGAAACAAAAAAAGGAGAGGTACTCCATCCCGGCAGGCTGGAGTTGTAGCAGCGGCGGTGGAACCCGCACCGCGAGCGGAGGATGGCGGTGGGTGGCAAATCCCTGGTGAGGTGAGGAGAGTCGCCAAGGAGGGCCGTAAGCGCCGCAAGAAGGCGCAGCCAAAAACACCGATCCAGGACCCGACGGCTTGAATGGCAAAGCATCGGTCCTGGCCTCAGGCCTCGATTAATCGGTCTCTACAGCGCATGCTTGGAGAGAGGCCAGTTCCCGCTGCTCTGGAAAGCGGGCAAACTGGTCCTCGTGCGGAAGACGGGGCGCCCTACGGTCTCTGTCCGCATACCGGCCCATAGTGCTGCTCGACGAAGTGGGGAAAGTCTTCGAAAGAATCATTTTGAACCGCTTCGTCGCGCACCTGACGGATATTGGGCCGGACCTGTCGGACGGCCAGTTCGGCTTCCGCAGAGGGCGCTCCACGGTGGACGCCATCATGCGCATTAGGGACCGGGCGACGGGGACTGCAGTGTCCAGGGGTAAGGTCGTAGTGGCGGTGTCTCTGGACATCGCCAACGCCTTCAACTTCCTGCCCTGGAGCTGCATCTTGGAGGCACTCCGATATTATCGGGTACCTACCTCCGTTGTGTAATCGAGGCTTACCTGACGGACAGATCCGTCAGTTATCCCGGTCACCGGGGCGAGTGGAACCGGCGAGAGATGTCACGCGGTGTTCCACAGGGTTCGGTTCTGGGGCCGCTCCTGTGGAACATCGGTTATGACTGGGTGCTGCGCACCGACCTCCCGAACGGCGGTAGCATCATATGCTACGCCAACGACACGATGGTGCTAGCGCCCGGGAGGTCGCACCAGGCGGCGGCCGACTTAATGGCGACAGCGGTTGCGACAGTTGTTAGGAAAATCCGGCAATTGGGACTCGAGGTGGCGCTCCACATGTCCGAGGCTATGTGTTTTCAAGGCCGTGGGAACGCGCCACCTCCGGGTGAGTCTCAAATAACGGTGGGAGAGGTTGCCATCGGCGCGGCGTCGAGACGACGAAGAAGTACCTGGGACTCGTCCTCGACAGTCGGTGGAACTTAGTGGAACACTTCCGACGTTTGGCTCCAAAGTTGGAGAGGACGCGGGCTGCGTTTAAGCGCATCCTCCCCAACATCGGGGGGCCCAACGCCTCCTGCCGGAGGTTACACGCCGGGGTCGTGCGGTCCATGGCCCTCTACGGCGCCCCTGTGTGGGCGCCGAACCTGATGTGGCGGCCCGCTCGGGCGCTGCTCATGTCACAGAGGGTCATGGCGATCCGAATGATCCACGGATAACACACGATCTCCGGGAAGGCGAACCTCCTAGCCGGATTACCGCCGTGGGATCTGGAGGCGAAGGTGCTCACGCGCGTGTATCGCATGCGCGCGGAGGCACGTCGCCAAGGCGAAACTCCGCCGCCGAGTGCGTGGTGGGAAGAGCTCCGGCGCGATCTCATGGCCGACCGCGGAATGGCAGCAACGAATTGTCTTAAAACATCTACTATGTAAGTACCGACCTATATCTTGGTAAACAATAAACAGTTATATTTTTTGCACATTTGTCAATTTTATTGTCAGAGCCTGGTAAGGACATTTTTCAAGGGCGCAGTTTTGAAAGCTCGCACCAAGCGCCTAGAAGGCTAATTACGGCACTGCTGTGGAGTTACCACCAACAACCCGCGCGTCTGTGATTCAAGCATGAAAATTAAATACAAGGCAATTATACAGGGTGACATTTATTTAGTACAGGACAGCGAAGCACGTACACAATAACAGACCAGATATTACCTTAATTGATAAAGTTAACAAAATAGTATATATTACCGACATAGCCATCCCAAATACCCACAATCTACAGAAAACAATAACGGAGAAGATACACAAATATACAGAGCTTAAAGAAGAAATACATAGAATCTGGAAAATGAATAAAGTATATATTGTGCCCTTGGTGCTCTCCAGTACGGGAGTCATCCCTAAAAACTTACATCACGGTATCCAACTCTTAGACCTCCATAAAAACACATATACAACCATGCAGAAAGCCGCAATTCTGAACACCTGTCGTATTGTGAGGAAGTTTTTGCAAGAAGAGACCACCGATCAAGTACCCCATGATTTTCACTTGGTTTAGGCCCGTGAACTTCATATTATTACCGAAATTTGTAATTTCGAGAAAAAGGGAATACCTTATAATAATAGTTCTAATATTTATTTATTCAGATAACTAAGATCCATCAAATTAATAGTAAGGGAAGAACACAATCATACATAACTAAGTATATAACTATTTAGGTACTTACAATATTAATAAGTAATAGTAAACAGGGACTTAGTCCGCTGCACTAATTTCCACATCAGTGGGCAATCATGTCTATCGGCTATGACAGTCAGAATACTGTGGCGACTTCCACGCAGGCGACTGACGAGCGATGCAGTCTTTTTGCGCCATAACGCAGCGAATCCGTCGTTATGAGCATCAGCAAACATTGCTGACGCACTACAGAAACGTGGAAGCCGCAACAGTGCCCTGAACGCATTATTATACTGGATGCGCAGAGCATTGTACGCTCTTTGGGTGTAATTAACCCACAGACTTCCCGTGTGTACAGTGATGTGCTATTGCACATGCAAAATGTAGAAAAGTAATTTTTGTACATTGACAAAAAAAATAGCCAGCGTGTTAAAAGATAACTAACACAACCCATTTCCATCATTTTTGAATTTTTTGTCTGTTTGTCTGTTTGTTTGTGCGCGCATCACGTAAAATCTACGAATTCAATGCAGATATTGCTTATACATAAAAATTCTACGCAACTCGAGGTAACTATAACTTAGTTTTTGTATTATCGAAATCGTTCACTCTATCAGAAGATATGATTAATTTAGTGAGTTCAAGAAGTAAAATATTACAACACGCAATTCATTATAGTATTGGAAACGATACCTTTGGAAAATTGGTTTCGTTTGGTCATTGGTTTGAAATCCGAAGTAAAGATACTACATGATATTTTAAACAAGTAGAATAGGCTATTTTTTTATGGGGGGAAAATCATCGAATGACTTCTCCCGTCTGGGTGAGGCGGGAGGGAATACAAAGAGAAACTAAAAACCACCCCGTTCCTTCTCCTGCACGTCGAGCCGGAGTCTCGGTTACCCGTTAGGTTCTCCGCAACTCCGAATTGGCATCGGCCCTGTTGGGCCCCATCTTTGGTAGTATGATGGCTCTTTGAGGCGCGCACAGAAAGCGACGCGCCGTACGCTCGGGTCTGTTTCTGGTCGGACGGGGAGCCACCCATGCTCGTCGTTCGCAGGCCCCTGCTTACGGTGGCCGGAGATCGTCCCGCGATCCCCGACGCCCGGTGTGTCCTTCGCGATGGCTGGGTTGCAAGGAGGCAGCGCTTCGCTGCCTCACGCGTCCCGCCTCCTCGTTAGCTAGCATGACTGCTTCGCGAAAGGATCATCATGGCCTGCACTAGGCCCGGACGTGAGAGGTCGCCATCGCCGATCACTTCCCTGAGGGCACTGCGGTGCTCAGCCCACGCAGGGAGAGGAGAATAGGTTATAGGTATTTTGAAATGTGGCCTTTAAGGTCGCCTTTAAGTTTAAAACGTCCTACGAACGACCTTTTTGTAACATATGTAATTGAACGAAACCTTCCAAAATCAGTTCAGTATACAAGTAATTGTAGTTGTAGTGTGTTGCATTTTCAAATCACTGTATTTACAATAATTAAGTAGTTTTTTTTGTTGTTTTTTTTTCTATTATTATTTACCGTCATTAATTTTTTGTTTTGGTGCAGAAATAGCAGTTACTACAAATTTCGACTATCAAGATGCGATCTCCGTTCAGTATAATATCACTTTTATCTTTATTAACGTAAATAACTTTTTTTACGTAAAAAGCTTTAATATTTCAAAAAATACTCATTACGCTATAAACTTCTGAATGCACGTAGAAATAAAGAACAAATTTGTGTCACCGAGTATATTCGGGAAGCATCGTGATCGTTCGGATAAATTCGTAATTCTCCGCGTGAGTGGCAAGCGCGAGGCAAGCTGCATTATGATTATGAACGACCACACTGGGTATTAGTGAGTATGGCGTCAGACCCGGTCAACAGCGCCGTACTGTCAGTTCTGGCACAGTGTATACAGTCGTCCAACGAAGACGTCTAGACAGGGCAATCGTGCGGAGTGTGAAGGGCGTGACGCGGGTAGGCCGATCCCGAGCTGCGAACAAAACGATGTTAGTAGCTCGGGATATATTATTCAGGAATAACGCGTGTTTGTTTTTACTGACTTCAAAAAAAGGAGGAGGCACTATGTTCCAATGATTGTTTCTTTTTTATGTATGTTTGCCGTTGCATGAAATTTTCAATTTATCGTCATGGGTGTCGTCTTCATGGTTTTCGAGGGTAGTAAAACCGATAGTGCTGACAAAATGTAAATCCAAGATGGCTGATGCAGGAAATTTTTAATTTACCGTCATGGGTATCGTTGACATGGTTTTTGAGGGTGGTAAAACCGTTGGTGCTGTCAAAATATAAATCCAAGATGGCGGCTGAACGAAATTTTTAATTTATCGTCATGCGTGACGTTTTCACGTAACTACATTGTGTTTGGGTTTGTATAATGTGTATTGATTAGAACTTTGCACCTGTGTATTATAAGTGGCAAAACGGGTCTATGTAGTTTTACACTAAAAATGACAAAATAAAAAAAATAACCAGTCAGGTTGAAAGTCAGGCGTTGAAATAACCAGTCAGTTTTTTGAGAAGTCTCTCAAAAAAGCTAAAAACTAAAAACAAATAGAAAGTAAAAACTAAACAGCAAAAAAATAACCATACTAATACTGATGAGTTACTCACCCACTGACCGACTTTTAGTCGGTGCCATAAGCTCATATTTTTGACAACCCTGGCCGATGCGTTACTGTCTAGGCTCTAGACGATGTCGGCATATTACACGAGATCAAAGGTCATGAATACGAACGGAACGAATAGGGACCGGATTTCTGTTTACTTACCCAGTATGCGTACTGGTAAGCTCAAACTAGGTATTTATACATGTACCAGTAAATGTCATCCCTAAAGTAGAAGTATTTACTTCTGAGTTTGATTAGTGCCAATCGGTGAGTGTAACGAATTCGTTAAGTCGTGACCATGAACAGACGATTTGCTATCATACGAGACTGTTCAACGCACCAATGTTTAAAAATTTTTCGGTTTTGTATATTGCTTTGATATTTTTCTTAAAAATGCCTCAAAGAAAAAAACAAAAACCTTTTTGTATAATGCTCCGGGTAATTCAACCGCTAATATAGTATATAGGGAAGCATTAACGTAATCAACTAGATACCAATATTACCGAATAAAAATATACTATAGTCAGGATCTTTATTGGCAAAAAAAAAATACTATACCACCTTCTTAAGTGGAGTTCATATGTAAATAGCCCACTGTTATCTAAACGATGTTGTTTTGTTTTCGACAACCACGCGAACGAATTCGCGGGCACAGCTAGTTGTAAATAATTGTAAGACTTTTTGTATTAACCAGTAAATAATAATACCTGTGTCAGTTTAGCAAACTTTCGTACCCAAAATGTTATTGTGAATATACAACATATATAATTAAGAGTTACAAAAATCAATCTCCTTTTACATTTTATGTAGTAGGTTTTAATGGGTACCTAACCAGAAAATAGTCCTGCCCGCACTGGAGCGGCCGCGGCGGTTTCACTCACATCGCGAAAAATCGTACTAAAACCGCAAGTGCAGCCACTTGTAATTGGTCATTGTTTCACAAAATTGCACGGTTGAAAATTCGTCGCGGTTCCACTCTGGTGCAGCTGGGTCCCGGAGCCAAAATAATATAAAATAGAACTAATTAAGCGTTTGTTTTCAGGGAAATGCATCAAATCAAGAATAACCCCATAAGTGAACGTGAGCACATGATCAACGAAGCGATGGTGCGACAAAATAAACATGTGTTTTTCGCTGATCGATTGCGAGAGTCCGTCTACGAACACGTCACATATAATAGCAAAGGCAAACAACAGCCGTTGTTAGCTCCGAGACTTTTTGTTATATATGACAACGTGGAAGCCAGTGAACCAGGAGATACTTCCGATTATAGCGCAGTTCTTGATGCACCTTTCTACAAGTTAAGGATTGAGGATGGAATAGATCCAGGTACTTATGTAAATTGTATTTTTTTTTCTTTGGCAACCAAGTCTCCAAAACGGTGTTGTCGACTATACCTACTGCCAATGTAGAGTGGTGACGGCAAAATTAATGAACCGTCAAACTTAACTTTGCGGTAGTTTTTAGTTGTTAGTAGCTGAAAGGACAAAACAATTGGGTTAGTAAACATAAACGTTATTTTATTGTAGGTATACATACAGTGGTGTTTTTTTTAAGGAGGGAAAATCATCGAATGACTGCTCCCGCCACGGTGAGGCGGGAGAGAGTGTCAGACTCTTACTGACTAAAAACCACCCCGTTCCTTCTCCTGCACGTCGAGCCGGAGCCCCGGTAACCTGTTAGGTTCTCCACGACTCAAATACAATACAGTAAAAATTGTTGAGGGACATACATAATACAGACAGATATGAATATATGTAGATACAATGTACATTATTTACATCGCTGAACACCGTCATATTTTGATCTCATTTTCATACATAAATTTACATAAAGAATTTGTGGGAAAAGTGAGTTAATAGGAGGTGGAAACTGTTAGGGACCGAGATTTGGATATTATAGAGGTCAAAGGATTGGGAATTTAAGGGAAACGAAAAAAAAAAAATGTGTTCTAAAGTTTCCTCATCAAGGCCGCATTCGCACAGCGAGCTGTCGCGGACACGGATCTTGCTGAGGAAGACCAAACTGCTACAATGGCCAAGTCTGTGCCTGGACACGGATGAAACAGTATGACGGGGAAGCTTAGGGTACTTGGAAAACCAAGATTTCCGTCGGATGCCGAGCTGGACAACTGGACATAGTGGGCTCCTTTACGTTTGAACGTTTCTACCCACACTGCAGCCCATGAGTCAAACAGCTTGTGCTTTGTGTCAGCATGAAGATCATACCCGTACACAACGTAGTGCTGGCGTTCGACATCGTTCGAGGCCGCAAATTAATTTGGCCAACTCGTACTCAACGCACACTCGTTATCACATATCTTATTTGGAATCCAAGCGATCTTGATATTTATGCCATCTTTGTAACAAGAAAAATGAAACGCCTTTATCTCTACAACCAAACTGTTGTGAGTTCGGGAATGGAGCTGGTCTTGGTTGAGAGACTGCAGGCTACTTCGGCAGTCGGAAAAAATAACGAAATTTTTTAAGTTGTGCGCTCTAATAAATTTGGGACTAAGGGCTGACCCCTGAGGTAAACCTTTCCAGGAGGACCTCCGTACTGGGTTATCCTCAGGAGTTCTTAATTGGAGGGTACGATTGAAAAGGGTGCTGGCTATAATTCGGCAGATCCTACTCGGGATTCTCAGCTCTTGCAGTTTCTGCCTGAGAAAGGGTAAGACAGAATCATCGGCCGCTGAGACATCCAAGAAGACCGCGACCAACGACTCCTGCCTTCTAAGGGCCAGTCGGATGGCTGACGTGAGGGTACCTACACTGTCAGCCGTACCTAGACCTTTCTTGAAGCCGAACTGAGTCGCCGGAAGCAGCCTCTGGTTTTCTACCAACCATTCAAGGCGGTTTTTGATGAGATGTTCAAATGTTTTAATAAGTATGGACGATAGGGCAATAGGTCTGTACGACGAATGGACACCAGGATCCTTGCCAGCTTTTAACCGCGGCATAATAACCTGAACCTTCCAGGTAGGAGGAATATAGCTTGAAGTAAAGCAAAAATTGACTAAGTCAAGGTAGTATTTCTTCGCTTTAGTTCCTGCCTTAGTTAGGAAAGAGTATGGGAACCTATCAATCCCTGGTGCCGAGTCCTTCACATGATTGAGTATCGTATGAAGCTCTTCAGATGAGAACTCCAAATCGAGTGGGTCATGAGGCTCGATCTCATGGGATCTCAGGCAGCATTCATCTGCAGTGGGAACATACGATGGAGCAATATTGTTAAGAAAACTGTTACTCAGAGATTCGGGTAAGGTGGAGATAGAGGAAGGTTTGGTGGAGTTCCTAAAATTTTTTACTCTCTGCCAAATTGTGAATGTTAGTGTCGATAGGCTCAGGGAACCACAAAATCTCTGTCACCTTTGTCTCTTCTTTTTCTTGAACAATTTTCTTGACTTAGCCAAAATTCGCTTGAAATTTATGAGGTTTTCCAGGTTATATGTCTTTTCAGCCTCATTCCTAACTCTTATCATGGCAGTGCATTCACTATCCCACCATGGTGGAGAAGGGATTTTGCCTTTCGGTGCGTTTTTCACCAGAAAGCAATCTTCGGCTGTGGAGGCTATCAGGTCTGAGAATTTCGAGAAACACTCCAAAGAATTCTCGTTGTAAATTGGTTGAAGGAAAGAGGTGCGGTGATCTAATAATTTTCAGTAAAAATCGTCCATATTATCACATACCTCTGAACTCCATCTATAGTGGTGGCAGTTGAAGTCACCCATTACAAGTAATGGGCCACTTACCGAGGTTAGTAAATTTTTCATCAAAATAAGCTAGGCAACATGAGAGTGAGCAATGTAAAATACAAATATGTTTATGTCCTCAGCCTTAACAGCGACAACATTTATGTCATCGCCAACGAAGGATAGAGGAATTTGGGAGAAGGGTACGTTGTTATTAACTAACAAAGCATAACCTCCATAACCATCAGATCTGTCATGTCTGACAACACTGAAACACGGGATCTCAAAATTTATAATCGGTCGAAGCCATGTCTCAACAATGCCACAAATCGATGGTTTAAATTTATTGATCAAGTGGAGAAGTTAAATTACTCTTCCTGGGAAGAGTACTCCTCACGTTCACGCCTCACGAGGCAGGTATTTTACAAATATAATCAAGAATTGTTGAAAGCTTGTGTGCTACATTGTCAGGTACAGTTTGGGCAGGCTTTGATAGTACTGCCATGAGAATATTAGAAACTATGTTTAAAATGTTCCCGGAGCGACGAGTGTTGGTTCCGGATTCCACAGGGAAAGCGCAACCACTTTTAGATGGGGAGAACGAGTAGTTATGTATAAGGGCTTAATGAGCTTTCTTATCATAACTAGGAGAGAGGAGAGCATGTGATTTAGGTTTGAAGTGGGTATTGTTTTCTTATAGGAGACTCTTTGTAGGGATGGTTTTTTATTAGGTGATGGATTTATAAGGTTGACTGATCTTGAGACCTTAGCATAAGATCTTTTTACCGTAGGAAAAATCTGGCTTGCTTCCACATAAGAAATGGATTTTTCCGCCATCAAAGGTTCGGTGCTCTTCTGGCAACCCAATTCAGGAAAAGCTTTGTCATTAGCAAAGTGGTTGCCAATGCAAGTGATACAAGTGGCAATCTCAGCTGAAATATGGCATCCATCACCTGGATGGTCCTGGCTACTTCTGTAACAACGTAGCTTGGAGCGGCAGAGAGTGCGGGTATACCTGAAACGACAACGGTGATTGCACTGTATGGTAGAGTATGAGTATAGTTTTACCGGGAGTGCAGAATAAAAACAAAACACTTTTTTGGGTAGTGTTTGACCATCAAAAATAAGCACTACGGTTTGGGTAGGCTTCCATTCGGTACTGATTGGGGTTGAGACTCTGTGATTCTTCCAAAGCTTTTATCACAGCCCCACATCCGGTGGGAACCCTAATATTGCAAATGATTTCGTCCTCTGTCCATTCCACAGGGACGTTACTGACAATGCCCATTCGGGTAATGTTAAATTGTGGGAGCGAGCTAAAAACATACCAAACTTAACTGGGTGTAGCGTGGTGCCAGACGTCTGGGAGTCCTTAAGAGATATATAAACTATGTAAGGGGATTATCCCCGGCCGTGTTTGCCTACCATTTACACTTTTCGCCAATTTCGGGGTGTTGTTCTGGGTGACAGGGGGGCGCCTGCGGGTCGCTTCCGAGTTTTTGCGCGAGCTATGTTCCGAGTGAGCTATGTTTAGTTGATTACGATATTATAGTCTTGATTGAGACATGGTTGGTTGACGGTATCTCTGACTCGGAATTGTTTGACGATCGGTACATAGTGTGGCGTCGGGACCGTGATTACAGTCAGACTGGTCAAACTCGAGGTGGTGGAGTATTGATAGCGGTTCGTAAATGTATATCTGCAATACCGCAACCATCTTTTCACTCCTCCGCTGAAGATCTATGGATAACTTTGACCTTGCGGCAACCCATCACTAAAATCGCTTTTAAATTGAACTTGTGTGTTATCTATCTGTGTAAGCAGAACTGGGTCACTGGGAACTGGGCCACTCATTCTCCGATCAGTTACAGAGTTTTCTCCGTTCCTTGAATAGTGCTATGTTAAATAATTCTATGGATAAATTTTTGATTGTGGGCGACTTTAATTTGAGCGGTATTTCATGGCAGTCTCAAAACGGTATTTATTTACCTAGTGATGTTACTAGCAGTGATGAGTGTATACTGACGGATGAATTGCAAATGTTAGCCCTCCAGCAATATAACGGGGTGTTAAATGACTTTGGGGGTATTCTGGATTTGGTCATGTGTAATGAGAATATCTCAGTTAGTAAATCCTTAACTCACTTGGTACCTATTGATAGATATCACCCTGCTTTATTAGTGACTATGCTGTTTGCCGAGTCTTCGCATCTAACTCCTGCTCCCTATACTCAGTACTATTATGAAAAAGGCGATTTTACTTCGATAAACCAAGATATATTGGCTATTGATTGGGAGAGGGTGTTTCTTAATATGACACTTGATGAGGCGATAAAATATTTTTATTCTGTTGTCGATGAATTGAAGGTCAAATATGTGCCATCGGGGAAGATTTCTCACAGTTCGTATCCGGTTTGGTACTCTCCGGAGCTCAAACACCTGCTTAGGGAGAAATCTAAATACCTCCGTAAATTTAAAGTATATGGTCGACTGTCTGATAACGCCACGTTTAGGCTATTACGGGATAGGGTTAAAGGGCTAGAGGAAGCATGTTATAGAAACTATTTGATGACTACGGAATCAGGTATTGAGTTAAATCCTAAACGTTTTTGGAGTTTTGTAAAACATCGTTACAA